GCTTGACAGCACAACGCTGGACAATGCAAGGCATGTGGTTGCAGTCTCCAAGGGCCGGTGCTGGATGTGCGGGATTGACCAGGGCCTTGTGCTGCTGAGCGCTGGATCTGTGCCAGATGGGAGCAGCCAGGTTTGGGCTTGCCCTCCTGCCACCCCAGGGCTGACCTGCTGTTTGAGTCCTGGAGGTGGTGCTGGAGCCCATCCTGCTGACGGAGCAGAGTGCGGCCAGGCTACCTGGAAGGCGATCTCAGGAAGCAGCTGCAGGGTAACACTGAACGTTTGGGTCAGTGCAGCCAAAGATTAATGGCACCGTGACGTACCTCTGCTCTGGATAGTGTGGGGAAAAACAACCCTGGTTATAGGACAATCCCCAGCAAGGTGGTGAACGCACGTGTGCATGCATGGCCTTCAGATAAAACCTTACACAGCAAGTATTTATCAAAACATCTTCCAGCGTCCCCTTTGCAAGCACTGCACAGCAGCTTGGGCATTTAACCTTTCTTTGGGTTTTAAAGCCTGCCCTGCCTCCTGCTAGCCGAATTTAACCTTTCTTTGGGTTTTTAAATCTGACCTGCCTCCTGCTAGCCTGACCTTGCACTGGGAGGAGGGTGGGCTGCTGTGTCCCTGCTGCCCTGGCCTCTGCCTGGTTACTCCAGGGCAGGGATGCTCGCAGCACCCCTACATTCCACATGCTTTTGCTATTGTAGGCGGAAAGTCTCCAGCCTTCCTGTTCTTGCTGGAGGTCAATGCCCGGCAGTCCCCTCTCCTCCCTTGCTCTCATCTGCCAGCAGCAGCCTCTGAAGCAGTGATGGGGCGGGGGAGCCGGCCCGTAAGGGGGCTGCAAATGCACAGTAACAAATACCCCTGTGTCAAAATGCCCGGGTTTTCCTTTTCCTTCATGCTGGTATGAATTGCTGCCCTGGGCAGAGGGGTGGCTGTGGCCTCCTGGGTCCTGCTCTGATTTCATTTATAGTGACCAACACCAGCCTCAGCGGGGCTGCTTCCCTGCTGCAGTGTCTCCTCTGGATCTGTGCCAGTAAAACTTAACCTGTGCACAATGCTCCTGAGTTTGTGTCCTGCAATAAATGGGAGTGTGTCCTTCCTCTGCTGAAAGCTGTGCTGAGGACACAGGCAGATGTGCTCGTGTGACACCCAGCAGCACCGTGTCTCTGACTGCCGATTGAAGTGCCTCGCTGCCTCCGATGTGTTTGCGCTGCAGTGCCTAGGGGTACCCCCTCCTGCTGTGGCTACAGAACTCCCTCACCCCAAGCCTTGGCCACTGTGGCAACATCCCTTGAACTGCAAGCTGCTGGGGAGGGCTGGGCACGTGAGAGCCATGAGCTGAAGGACAAAAACCAGAGCTGTTACAAGGTTAAAGCCTCTTGAATTTAAATCCTTTTGTAACATGCCTGTGCTCTTTGCAGCTTCCCTGTAAAGATGCCTCCTAGCCAGGGCAGCGAGGATGCCACGGCAGCTGAGACGATGGCACTGGGCTGCCATGTGGGAGCTATGCTGGTCAGACACCTGCTATCTTTATACGTGCTTCCAACATTTAATTGTTCATTTATAATGCAGTATCGGTTCGCAGCAGGCAGCCTGTCCCGGGCCACCATGCCGCTCGCCTGGAGAAGTCTGGAGGAAGCCTGTGGATGCTCGGTTTCCCTCGGCGGGTCAGTGACCACGAGTGCCTCCCGCAGGGTACCCGAGGCCATTCACTTTCTCAACTCAGGAAGAAAACAGGGCAGCAGGGTGGGGGCCACTGGACAGCGGGGCTCCCTGGAGGAAATGTGCTTACCCGGTGCAGGGAGGACGAGGCATCTGCTGGGGAGAGGAGGAAGGCTGGCACCTTGTTTCGCTCAGGGGGTTGAGTGTGCTCCGGCAGCATTGCCAAGATCTCACCTTTCCTTCTCCATCAGTCTTTGCTGGCAAAATGGTTCATGGGAGCTGCTGGGAGCCTCGTTGCTGAAATAACCTCACTCTGTTTTACCCTGGAGCTTGTTTCGGGATGGGCCCCAGCACCACAACAGGGGTGCGGGGGGACAGTGGTGTGCTGGGCAGGTGTGCACGAGGAGTGGATGTGAACTTGGGTTTCTAATGTTTCCCAAATAGCAGCTGAGAGGCTAGGTGCATGAAAAGCTCCAGCTTAGAGGGTTCTTCCCCATCTGGAAGGTGGCAAACCAAAGATGGTCCACAAATCCAGCCGAGAGGCAGAGAGCATCCTAGTCCTGTGACGGTCATGGAGCTCTCCACGGATGTGGGAGACATGGGTTCACCCAGCGGTAGCAGGAGGGACCCCCCTCCCAGGAGCGTGCCTCAGTTTCCCCACAGTGTACCTAAAATCAGTGGAGGGGGGAGCAGTTAATAATGCGGGTACCCTCCGAACAGGGCTTTGCTGGGAAATTGCTGCAGGTATGCAAAATATGGAATATTTCTGTGCAAAGAGCAAATGATGAACTGGCTGGAGGCAGAGTGTGAGGCTGCTCCCTTGACTTTATCCTCCTCCAATCTCCAGCTTTCTCCACCCGCCTCGATGCGTGCATGTCCTGAGTTAAAGCAGCTTTGGCAGGAAAGCCAAGTCCTGCAGCCTGAGCGCCTGCTGTGGGAGGAAGGCAGCGTGCGACCTGAAGAGTGTTAAGGAAACTATAGGAAGATTAGGAAATGTGTGATGAGTTTTGATAACTGGAGGAAGCAGGTCATGTCCTGCTTCGAACGAGGTCTGCTTGGAGGTATGAAAGCAGCCTTTGCCGCGGTCAAGAATCAGTTGATCTCGTCAGCGCTCTCCGCTCTGGCCAAGGATGCTCTGGGCTTGCAGGATGAGGCTGGGGACCTTCGGGATCTTGCTAATGCTTGTCCACGCATCAGCAGCCTGTGAGTTTGGGCCCTTCCCTTACAGCGTCACGGGGATCGTCTGCAGGATGACCAAGCCGGCAGCATTGCTGTGTAAGTGCCTGCTGTACGGGGCTGCGTTTCCCCCCGCTCCACCAGGAGAAGTTAGTGATAGATCAGCCAAGTGAGGGGTTTCTTGCTTCCCTGGCTCTCGTGGAAACTGTTTATCTAGTAAGATGTATTAATACCTGCCTGGGAGCATGGGTTAAACCCTGGGCACCTGAACTGAATAGGCACAAATTCTCAAAGGAGCTAGAAAACAGTCCTCAACCCATCTCCTTAGTCCAAAGTTTTAGCAATATGTTCCTCGTTGGAGGCTGGTGTGATGGAAGAGCTAGAGCAAATGTGTGTTTGATTTCTCACCTTGCTGCAATTTCACCTCTTGGGGTTGGGGTACAGAAGGAGAGAAGCAGGGGTTCTCTGCTGCTGTGGGTTTATTTGCAAGGATTTGGGGGCTCTGCAGGTGGGGGAAGAATAATTAGTGCTTCTGCAAAGGACGGGAACAGCTCTGTCCTCTCCTCTCCGACAGTGGAACATGCAGAGAAGGATGCCGGGCCAAACTAAGAGAGGGTATTTCTCTTAAGGAAAAAATCCTGTACAAGCATGTGCCTGAGGCTGAGGCTGGAACGGGCTGGATAACTTTAGCAAAATGAGTACAGAAACTTTGGTCTCAAAATTTTTGCTTTGGAGACGTAACAGCTGATTGCAATACAAGCAAGCAGCAAGAGAGCAAAGCACTGGGGTAAAGTCAACAGCTTGTGCGGTGTAAGGACAAGCACGGCCTCGTCCTTTCAAAAATCTGCCCTTAAGGTGCAGGTGAGGTGTGTGAAAGCTGGGCTTGATTCCCCGGAAACAGCCCTGCTGCTGACTGTTGAGCCACACGTGCTGCTGTCCCCAGCTGCCATCAGCTGTTAAAGTTAGGGACTCTTTTTTTTTTTTTTTTTTAATTTACTCTGAAGCTGCTTCTAGTACTTCTTTAATCTAATGAAAATGCCTTGGATAAAACTCTTCTGTAATGCTTTAATCCAGGGCGCAGACCCAACTTTGCAGCCAGGAGAGATTGCAGTTTGGTATCTTTGCCCTTTTCTTCCACTGACAGTGAACCAGGAAACAGCACAGGTCATTCAAGCAGCATTCAGAAATGCCAAATTCCCAAATATCACCGGGGAAAGGTCCATGCGGCTCCTTGGCAAGGTGGCTTACGGGCTGTCCAAGTGAGTATCTCTGTGTCTCTGTGCCAGGGGAGGTGCAGGCTGATGGAGAGGAATGGAAACTGGCCTCGGAGGGAGCTTTGATCCAGCAATTCCTGGTGAAAGCGAAGGTCTGGACCAGGGCAGACACATTTTCTGATCTATGCCTTGCAGACAATTTGCACATTAAGGTTTAGGCTGCTGATGTGTTATTTAAGAGCTTTTTCAACTCGGTGGGCAGACAGTGAGGCAGTGCGCAGAGCAAATCTCCAATAGTGGGGATAGGGAGCTCTGTCCCTACGGGCTGGAGCTCCCGGGGCCCGTCGCCGACAGATGGTGCCCATGGCACACTGAGTGGCAGAGGGGACCCAGCCGGGGCTGCTGGAGCCACCCCTGTCAGCAGGATGTCACTTGGCCGGGCTTTGTGACAAACAAGGCTGGGTTTCGCTATGTTACTAACTTTTATTTGGGGACAACAAATGCAACGATGCAAACGCAGGATGGATTTCCTGCTGTGACTGCGACTGACACAGAGCACTGCAGTGAAACGGAGTTGTTTCTGCAGCGTGTTGCTCCGTGCTTCCCGTTTAAAGCATTTCCCCCCTGCTTCACATCCGAACATCACAGGGGAGGAGCAGTGCACCGAGGCTGAGCGAAACCACCATTGCCCTTGTGCATGGCCCCTGTGATTTGCAAAAGCTCCTGAGCGCTCCCCAGAGTTGGCACAGGCCCCTGAGAGACCCCACATCCTCAGGAGCAAACCTGTCTTGTCTGGTCACGGAAAACAGCCCTGGGGTTGGGGACAAACTGGGTTTCTGTTTTTTCTAGCATCCAGGTCAATGACTTGTCCATAGAGAAGAGTGAGGTGGAGCTCAAGGAGAACGATGCCATTCACATTGCCATTAAAAATGTGACAGCCTTCTTCAAAGGGACCCTGACCTACGGCTACGCCGGGGCCTGGTTGTAAGTACCCGGGGGCTGGCTGCTGCCGAGCACCACGGCCCCAGCTCCTGCCGCTGCCCATAGGCAGGACTGGCCCGTGGCCAAGTAGATGCAGATGGGCTGCGCTCCTCTGGCTCTCTAGCAATGAGCATTGCCTGAGCAAGGCGAGTTTTTATACGCCAGCAGTGCTGCTTAGCCCCATCATTGCTCTTCTTGCCTTGTTGTCTGCCTTTCTGTCTGCACCATCACCCCTTGCATGAGGAGACAAGATGGCCAAAGCAAACAAGTTGACTTCTTCCCTCCCCTTCATTGCTCTATAAACTCTGAGTGGGGAAAAAAGGGGCTTAATGTTCCTCCCTTCGCCTAAGTGCCGCTAGGGCGGTGGTTTGCAATGACTTAAAGCCAGAGTATTTGAGATGGACTGCTGCGTGCCGGGAGTTTGCATACTGCAGTGCAAGGACCGATGTGAAAGGTGTCATAAAACCTGCCTGTGGCTGACATGTGGTCAGGGAGAAGCTGCTTCCTAGCACGGGTTGCTAAATGTCCTCTCTTCTGCCGTTACAGTTTGCAGCTTTTTCATTCAGTTGATTTTGAAATCGAGTCTTCCATTGACCTTCAGATAAACATTAAACTGAGTAAGTAACAGCTAGGGATAGCTAGCCGTGGGGGGTCTTTGTGTGCGTGCTTCCTCCAGAGCAGCAGGATGGACTGGGTGGTGGGCAGCGAGCCTGGGCCAGCTCTGCTCACCTCTGTGGGGATCGGACGGCATCCGGAGGCTGGAAGTGGGTCTCTGCCGCCCTGTGCACACAGGCTAGGAGACAACGTGGCCCTCAAAGACCTCATAGTTTTAACAGACCAAGCAGAGGAAGCTGGTACAAATCATTTCAGCAAAGTAATGCTGATTTACACCAGCAGCAAGTGAAGAACGATGTGGCCTTCTGGCCTGTCTTTAGGACCGGCTTTTCATCTCCTGCTGTTCAGGATGACTTGAAAAAAACATGGGGATGTTTCAAAAGAACAAGCCAAATAAGGGCTTTGGTGCAGGAGGTTTGACCATCCTTATAGTCCACTTTTTCAACAGTCTCCAGCTCAGGGCCAAGGTGTGCTCTGGGAAACAAATCCTCTTCCTCGGGAAAGTCAACAGACTTAGACTAGAAAAGGACGGAGGCAAACTACACTGCTCCACCTTCCATAAGGGATGAGAGGGATGTGGGTTATCACATGTGCCTCAAAATACATTTTCCTGCCTCAAAATAAGTTTTCCTGGTAAGCTCCCAGGGGGAGACGAGCAGCACGAAGCTCTCAATGACAGTATATTGCAATTTCCAAGTTTTTTGCAACACGACTTAATTCCCTCCCTGCTCTGGTTTGTGGGTTGCACATACTGCCCTGGTTCTCCTGGGTGATTTTAGGGGACAACCGAGTCCCTGATGATAGGAGCTAGCGAGGCGGGCAGGTATCCAAATGAAGCATGAAGAAGGGTGTCCAGTAGACTTACCTGGCTGGAGCTGTGAGCAGAAGCCCTCCATCCAGGTGCCAGGTAGCTCCATCTGCCCCGACTTTGCAGGGTCCTGAGTCTTTTGGAAACATCCCCCAGGAGGTGTGGGGAACTCTGGCTGCCCGTCTGCAGTGATATCCTGCTCCAGGTCTGCAGTGTCTGCAAAGTGCGCTCGTCTCCTCATCTCCATAGCAAATTAGCTACTTTTTTTCTTTTTCCTTTCATCCCGTGCAGCATGCCAGAAGGACCAAGTGGCTACCGATGCCTCAGACTGCTACTTGACTTTCCACAAACTGACGCTTCACCTCCAAGGAGACAAGGAGTGAGTCTGTCCCCCTTCAAAATCAGGCTTCACCTGCCCCAATGCTGGTCCCTGAGCGCTTCAGCCCAAGTGTTACCCACCGTGGGGACTGCTGGGCAGTCCTTGACCGTGCTCCCTGTCTTATGCAGACCGGGCTGGCTGAAGCAGCTCTTCACGGATTTCATCTCCTTCACTTTGAAGCTTGTTCTCAAGAGCGAGGTAAGATCAGCCACTGCCTGTGGACAGAGGAAAGGTCGGTTTGTACGCTACACGCTCCTCTGCTCACATATGCCCACAAAATAATAGCAATATAATTTTAGTGCTTGCGAAAAATAAGACAAATAAATAGAACCCACAAAAAAACCCAGCTTGGACGAGGTGGGAGGTTGTGCTGACATTGGGATCTCTGATGGTGCCAGACTCTGACCAACAGCCCCCAGATGTCACCATGAGGCCCAGTTCTGCTCCACAACCCAAAATCCTACCCCCCGCCTTCAGTTTTTCCCCTCTTTTCCTCTTGTAGGTGTGCAACGAAATCAATTTTCTTGCCCAGGTGCTGGCAAATTTTGTACTTGATTTAGCAGGTAAATATCTTTGTTTTTTCTGCTTTGTTTTTTTATGTGCAACTTTTAACATTTGAGCCCCAGTAAGGCAGTAGCCACATCCATCAAAAAAGTCCTTCGAAAATGTGCATGGGATCCCAAGCCCTCAGACAACAGCAAAATAAACCTTAACAATGTTATGCTTCGCATTTTCTGCATCAGGTGGATTTTTAAGGGTGATTGCACTGGTCGAAAGACACAGTTCATAAGGTATTTCTCCTTCAGAGGTGCAGATAGGTGCAGAAGGACTGATGTTAGCTAGAACAGGAGCATGCATTGGAGTATTTGGGCTGAGATATTGCAGCATCTGTATCTGCCTGCTGAAGATTTTCCCGTGGTTCCCAGTCCCAAATATCTGGGAAAAGGAGCAGAATGTAAAACTAAGAGTAACTACCCCTATTTCCCAGTGGAGAAACTGAGTCAGTGAGCAGTAGCAGGATCAGCACTAGCACCCAAAGGAGTGGAACTCCCCCATCCCACCCCTGTGTTCTTTTATAACTCCCAGTCACCTTCTGCAGCAAGTCCTAAAAGCAACTGTCTCGCAAGCTCTGCTTAAGGTCATATTTCTGGTGTGAGGTTTTTGTGTTTTCTTCCTGCAGCAAATTTTGTCCAGGATAAGGATATCAGCGTTGATATTTCCCTTGCATCAGTTCCCTTAATAAAAGCAAATTACCTAGAATCACATCACAAGGTAAAGTAACCCAGGCTGCTCACAGACCAAAGGTTTTTTGGCGATGATGTTCGCTGGAGGGCTGGAAGGGCTTGGTCCCTTTGCTGCCATGCAGTGCTGCTGTGCTGCAGCCAAAGGTAAGTCTGCAGCGTGGGCTGATGCCAGCCTCTTGCCCTGCTGAGCAGCTTGCTCTCTGCTCTGAGTCCAGCCAGCCAGGCCTTCACCTTGCAATGAAAATGGAGGTATTGATATTTCTTCCTGTCTCCCTGCTGCTTCTGATGGCCACCATGCTTGCTTTCCTTTAAAGGGCCTTGTCCTGTACAAGAACTACTCTGATGTCTTCAGTGACTCTGTTTTCTCCCCGTCGCTGCTGACTGAGTCCCGAATGCTCTACTTCTGGCTGTCCGAACACATCCTCAACTCTCTGGCTTCGGCAGCTTTCTTAGATAAGCGCCTGGCGTTGACCATCAGAGGGGAGAAGTTGCAGGTGACTGTTTCAGGGGTGGTTCCCTCCTTACCTCATACATCATATTTTGGGGAGAGAGTAAAAAATTCTCTAAATACTGTTTTTTGGTGAGAGCTAGTTTCTGTAGAAGTTAGACAGAAATCTATAGTCAGTCGCTACATGTGATCCTGGTCGGAAACTGGCACCTTCTTAGCAAGTATGTGTTACCAGGTAGCATTATCCCTTAGAGCGATAACACCAGCTGATAGAAAACTTGTCTTCTGAGTTGTAAAGTGACGTGATTTTCTGTGGGAGTACTGAGGTAGAAAGGGGATGAACTGAACTGGCCACACATCAGCGCTCTGGCCCATCCTGCATCAGGGCTAACCATAACGTCCTTTTTCATTTTTCTATAACCTGTTTCTGGTTTGTTTCTGAAGGCGCTGTTTGAAATGGAAGACACAGAAGCGCAGCGGAAGGCGGTGCAGATGGTAACTGCATTTTATGTCAAACGAGGAACTTCTCAAATGGATTCTGTTGCATTGTAACATCTCGTGTCCTTCCCTCGACAACTCAAGAGTGTTGGGTGGGGCTGATAGGGAAAACCAGGGACTGATGGAAAAACCGTTGTGCTTTGCAAGGAGGATTTCTCCATGCTGGCACAGCTTCCTTGAAACCCGGTTGAGTTATTGGGCTTGTGTGAACTGGAGGAGGAATTGGGGACTACAAAGGGGCTGCAGCTGTGTGGAAAGTTAGCGTGAAATTGGGACGTGGTATGGAAAAAACCTGACTCTTCTGTTGCTCCTTATTTAACCAGATTTTTCAAGGCACCTCCTATAATGACTCTGTGGCCAAGGTGTGGAGTCTTGCCCATCCCCAAATTTCTCTTCAGCCTGAAGGGACAGTTGTGAAGTCCTTGGTAGCAGTGGAGATCAGCATCTTTCCCCCAGGAGAAGAGCCCCTGATGGTTCTGTACATGGAGAAGGTCAGTTCTTGCTTCTCCTGACCGTGAAGACCTTAGAACAGGCTCAGTCCCGAGTCTGGACCACTCCTGGTGCTCAGGGATGGTAATGGCAGGGAGCCCTTTGGGAAGGGGGTGGTGGCTAAACCATGGGAGGTAGAGAAGGCATATCAGTTCCTTTTAATACTCCAATCTCTTCCCTCAACATTTGAAGACCTTGGAACAGGCTCAGTCCCGAGTCTCCGAGTCTGGACCACTCCTGGTGCTCAGGGATGGTAATGGCAGGGAGCCCTTTGGGAAGGGGGTGGTGGCTAAACCATGGGAGGTAGAGAAGGCATATCAGTTCCTTTTAATACTCCAATCTCTTCCCTCAACATTTAAGGCTGGGAATGATGATAGTGACGGTGTTGGCTCAACACCTCCTCTATTAGGCCAGCCCATCGCTGGTGTGCAAGGTGGTAAGTGCAGCACTGGAAAACTCCGATGAGCCCCCATTAACCTGTATCGGACACACTGAAACTTCTTTAGCTGAGGTATTTTAGGAGAGAATGAAGGCACCATGGAAACGTATTTATTTTGAAATCTTCTCGATCTCAAATTTTAGCTCTGGCCCCCACTTAGAGGATGGTTGTCTCTGAAATGAAGATACAGCTCTGAAGAATGCGAAGCTCAAAATACAACCTTTTCCTCTATGTATGCCTGTATGAAAGTTCCTGCTTGCACTGTGTTTTACCCCAAACTGCTTTATCCTGAATCTAAGGAGGCAGAAAAAAGAAATGCCAACAGCCTTGCTGTCATGGGTAACATCACAAGAAAGCAGTATGTTTGTCCAGTCTTGTAATTATGGGCTGCTACGGACACTAAGGACTGGACAAAAGCAGATCCCTGCCTGAGGGCAGACCAGACTCTTTAATTTAAAGGGTTAAACTGTAACCAAGAATAATTCCCTCCTGCCCTCTGCAAATATCCCACATTAACAGGGTGTTACGGGGAAATACACACAGCTGTTTTTTGTGCTCCAGGTAATATCTTGAAACTAATTTCTGGTAGGACTGCAGAAGCACTGAACTGGAGGTGGTCCCTAAAATCATGGCTCTCAGGATGTGATCTGCTCCTGGCCTGACACATCCCTGGTTGTGACCTGCAACTGGATCACAACATGTTCCTTTTAACAAACATTTGCATACAAGCAAAAGCGAGAAAATGAGCCTAAATGGCCAGAATTAAGAGATTGCTTTCTTTTTGATTTGGTTATAAATGACAACACTATGGTAAGACTACTTGTGGTAGCCCTGGCTACCCTGGGGCTGGCCTCTCCACATCCAGTCTGATGATCTTTCATGTTGAGACGGATGGTCATTGGGAGACAACACCCTACGTAACCATTTCCTTCCTTATGCAGGATTTGGTTCACAAAATGGCAAAAGCATCAGTCCTGTGGATGAGCCAGTCTAGAGCCCCACAGGCTGAAGCTGTGAGCATCAGGGAGGAGTTTGTTGCATGCAAATGGAGAAGTAAAATGCCGATCTTCCCTAGTAATATCTGGAGGTAAAGCCAGAAGGATGTTGAACTCTGGGTCATAGACAGTAAACCAGAATTTCCAAATGCAACTCCCTGCTATAAGGCAAGATGTGCTACATTTCAACTCTGCCATTCATCTCCATGCAGGAAATCACGGTCACTATCCAAGCTGCCTACGCAGAAAAGAAACTCATTTTACATGCTTTGGACTCCAGGTTGGTACTGTGTCTCCTGTGGGTTTCATTGCCCCTTTTACCCCATGTCTGAGAGCAGCACAAAAAGAGGATCTCTGCAGCCCTTAGTGACCTTTTTTCCCTGCTTTTTCCTTCCCTTCAGGATAGAGTTTAAAGTCGTTAAATGCACAGCTGATCCAAGTGGGGTAAGTCCTAAGAAAGTATTTTCTAGGCCATTTGTGGCTAAACGATGTCTTTAAAACCTTTTTGTATGAATTTTCTGGCTTTCAGAATGACCCATCCATAAGAAGCTTCCTGCAGACAATGATCTCGGTTGTCGGGATCCCAGAAGTGATTTCAAGTGAGTTTTCCCTTTGGGGAAGTGCCAACCTACTCCATAAAGCGTCTAATATCAGATCTCCTAAATATAAGCACTGAAAAAATATATCAATAACCCTGACAGCTGGGGGGGGAACCATGTTACTGATGTGAATTTCTGCTGGATTCACTTGGGGAACGGCGAACCCTTTGTAAATGGCTGGGACAAAGGAAAAGTGAGTCTTCCGTCAGGCCAACGGTCGTGGGGCATTGAGGCACAATTAGCTTTTGGAAACAGGCAGAGAAGTCACAGTACATGATGAGCCAGGACGGCCATACCTGTAACTGGATGGGTTTACTGATTCCTTAGGGATCGAACCAGCTTTAACTTCCCTGATGAACAGCAAAGGGCTTCATCTATTTGAGATCAGAAATCCTGAGATCATCACAAGAAAGGTAAGCAGGGTTCAGAAATACCTGGCTCTCATAGCCCTTCTTGGGAGTGTGGCATAAACTAATATAATACTTTTTTTTTTCCTCCTCCCTTTTTAGGGATACATAATTGTACAACTTGACTTCAGCTTCCCGAAGCATTTGCTTCTTGATTTTCTTGAGAAAAGATTATAGAGCTGATCTCTTCATAAAGGAGCATAGGAACTTGTGTACAAACAGAAAGATTGTGTGTGAACCGATTAAAAGACAAGATGATTTAAATCAGCTTCGGTTGAATTTTCTTTCCTTTTCCTGAGAAACACCCCAGTTTCTGTGCAATTGTACTTCCACAGAACCTTTCCTCTGCAAAGATCTTGAAGTCTGCACCTCTATGCAAGCTACTTTTTCAGAATCTTTAAAGGACTTCTGTGCTTAGGAGTAAGGGTTGGACTCTTGAAGTGCATGCACTCAGGCAGCAGCAGCAATCGGCTTTGCCCACCTTTTGGCATCTCTGTTGTTACGTTTTGGAAACGTAGCACCTTTTGCGCTGATCCTGGGTTTCGTCTCTACCATGAGCCAAGAGGCTCCTGATGTTGACAGACTTCAGCAACTCAAATGACATTACCAAACTCCAAATAAGCTCAGAACCAGTTATGCTGAAAGACCTGGGCATGGCTGAGAAAATTAAATGGGATGAATTTACAGTACAGTACAATAACAGAGAGATCTTGTGCCCTGGGTACTTTCTTTACAGAGCCTGTAGACTCTGTGTAGAGCTCTAGGCAAATTGTTATGCCCATGTTGTTGAGACAGCAGAAGCAAAGTTGAGAAAAGCAATAAAAATGATAAAGAAGCCAAAGAGATTATAAGAGAAAGTGTAAGTGTCTGGTCAGACAGCAGGTTCCTGTTCCTTCCTACTACAGTGCAATAATTTATCTATCATCTGAAGTATCAGTTATTTTCCTGCACCAATTCATGCTTCTCTTTTTTTACTTTGTCTTTTCACTTGGAAGAGATCTGAGGCGACAAATCTAAGACAGAAATGGTGATCATATTAACAAAGGCAGAGGATGATGTTCTCCTCCCACACAAAGCGATATTAAAGTTGGGGCTTCCACGAAGAGCCCTGCGAGGCTGGTAGCAGGATGGCCTCAGTTTCTCACGCTCCCTGGGCATGGTAGTTGTTCCCTCCACATTGCCATGGATGTCCTGAGTTTACAGGCTGCTCCATGGCAGCCAAGGAAGGTTTATCTTACTGGGTCTCAACCAGCTGTGTCCATGACACAGCAGGAGCCAAGTGATGTGAAAGGTGTGACACCATGGTGTGGCCAACGGTGGCCTTGAAGAAGCCCTGGTGTACTGTGCAACTTTCCACCTCCTTCCCACCCTGTTCCCAACACTGCCTCCGCCGGCTATTTCAGTACCAGCTAAGGGCTTGATCCGTGCTCCCTCCTGCTGTAAAGCCACCAATGCTGAGGTGACATTTTTCCTCGCTGCATGGCAATGTCTGCTGAAGACTATGGGAACTGGCTTCTGTCAAGCCAGGGCCCTCTGGTTCTCCTGAATAACATCCCACTAGACTGATGAGCATTAATAAAAAAGAAATGGCATAAAAAAATGCCTTTTTTCAGCCTTGGAGGTCCCCTGCCCCGTCAGGGGGGAAGGTGTCTGCTGGGGACATTCCGTGGTGACAGGCTGGGCTGGGCAAGATGGCTGCCCTTGCATGGGGGAGCGGGGACTCTGCTGAAGGGAGGAAGAAGCAGGAAAGTGGCCAGTGGACCCCCAGAAGGTCCTGAGCTGCCTCCCTGGGGGGCTGCAGCACCCACCACACAACGGTGGCCAAGACC